CAATTGATAATCTCTCTTGTCTTATGTCGGTTAATATAATCTATTTCAGTGAAAAGTTAAAAGGTATAACTCTTGTGGCAGCCTGGACGAAGCTAGAGCCTGCAATGGAGTCTTCATGTAACAAACTAATCCAGGCTTCTCGGTCATGTCGATGTGTTCCCGAGGTGTAGAGGATGTCCATGAGAAACAATGCAACAAATTACCTAGTGCTAATGTCATCATATTGAGGCTGAGTTGTGCAGCTGGACACACCCGTCTTCCCGACCCAAACGGAAGAACCCGAAAGTCTTGACCTTTAACATCCGTTTCCTCCACAAGAAACCGCTCTGGTCTAAACTCATCTGGGTTGCTCCAGTTTGCAGGATCTCGAGCAATCGCCTGCACATTGACATAAACCGTGGCTCCCTTAGGAACTCTGTACCCACCTATCTGAACCGATTCGCTGGCCTTGTGTGGAAGCATCAATGGTGTTGGAGGGTGAAGCCGGAGAGCTTCTTTGAGTATGCATTGCAGATATGGCAGTTTTGGGATATCTGTATCAGACATTAACCGTCCGAATCCAACCACCGAATCAAGCTCATGCTGCACCTTTTCTTGCACAGTCGGGCATCTGACCATCTCTGCCATTGCCCATTCGATAGTAATGGCGGTTGTGTCAGCTCCTGCGGTTAACATGTTCCAGACCAGTCCCATCACAGTCTCCTCGGTCAGCTCATTCTTCTCTTTCAACTCTAACAGACTCTGAACAAAACACTTTTGATCTCTTCCTCCATATACTTCATCCATTACAGCTCGTTTAAACCATTTTCTTTTCCGAGCCATGTGCTTCATGAACGCATTGTCGCTGGTGAACCAAGACGAAACCCGTTTAAGCCAAATTGTATAATCAAGCATCTTGGTTGCGCCGGGTAAGCGAGTCTCCCTATCAACGATCGATTTAAACTCTCTTCCTTCTTTCGGTTCGAATGTTTTCCCGATAACTAATCTTGAAACAATGTTCAAAGCAACTGAACCTAGATAGTTCCTCAACACCACCGGTTTCTGATCATCGGTCATCAAGTCATTGAAAACCGACTTAACCATGGAACTTACTTCCATTTCTCTCATCAACCTGAAACACTCTATGCTTTTCAAAGAAAAGAGCTCGAGTGTACAGAGTTTCCTCATTTTAACATAATGTGCTCCGTAGTCGGACCAAATAAGATCACTGCCGTTCTGAGTCATCCTTGCGGTTCTATGTCGGTTACAAAGTTGGTAGTCTTTGTCTCTCAACACTTGTTTGGCCAAGTCAGAGCTGGAGACCACAACAGCTAGCTGTGATCCTAACCACACCGATATGATGGGGCCATAAGTGTGTGACCACTCGGAGAAAGACTGCGTCCATAGTGGTTTCAGTTGATGAAGGTTTCCGATCAGAAATCGCGTTGGTGGTCCTGGAGGTATGTTGGATCTCCGACGTCGTAGATTTTGCATGAAGGCGGCGATTATGATAGTGGTTAAGGATATCAGTAATAAATCCATTTTGCTTAGACAAAGTTGTAATTGGTAAAATACAAGTTTGATGCTTCCTCATGAAGTGTATTTTTTATACACGAAATATTAAATGATTTCTAAATTATAATTATTATTATTTAGAGTCATGCTTATCGAATAAGCTATTTAGATAACACGTAATTTTGCATGAAATTGTCATGAATTGGTTCACTTTTTTGCTTTCCCACACTATATGCATTTTCTAATTTGATTGAAAATTTTAGTACAACTTTCTTTGCTGTAAGAAAGACGTTTTCATGTACATTCTTATATAACTTTTTGAGGTAGCAGTTTTTGTATCTTGCAAACACATATCCAAAGTTGACATGTTTTGACATTTGTTACAAAAATTCATATGGTAAATGAGATTTAGTTATAGTGTTATAGTATGCTAACTGGCGTTGAATAAAATTCTTCGGACGTGTATCTGACTATCTGTATCTGTTTTGAACTTGATCGGTATTAGTTAACGAAACAAGTTTGGTTTATCCCGGTTTAGAAGTTGTGGTGACGCACATTGTGATTAGACTTGATCCGTTCGTTATTAAAGAATGAACCAAATTCGGTTTAGAAGTAACGGTATGTGCGTCGGAGAAATTTGTGGTCTCGTCGGAGAGTCTTAGCCTGTAAATTACTTTTCCCGGTGGATCCGGGGATGGTATATGCATAGTCACATCAGACTATGATGAATTCGTAGAAGCTTTTTCTGTTGCTTTTCCAACTGGTGGTGCACACCAAGTGTTCGATAAAATAGCCAAGTGAGCAGTTTCATGTTTCTACGGGCACCTACTACTTGTAGGAGTTATTAGTATTATGATAAGGTACATTATTCCAACTTGTTGTAAGCTAAACAAAATCTCTGCCCAATTTCTATTTTTTTTTTCTTGGTCTAGTGAAGAGAGTAATTGATCTTGGTGTATATATATCCCACTTCATCTCCTCGCATCAACACTATAAGTAGAAGGGTTTGAGATTCACTCTAATCATCCAATTCTCACTAACTCAAAAATAGACTCTACAAACCAAAAGCTCCTATCGTCCAATAGTTTTTTTGGAAAGGCTTCATTTAAACAGAGAGTCGTTTTATCCTGGGAACTCACTCCATCGTGAATACTCGGAAGCTAGACGTGTGGCAGGGAAAATGAGTTAAGGGAAACCGTGATTAGTATGACATCGCCAACCGGCAGCATTCACAAAGATCTTAAACTCCTTTCCCCTGCCACTCTTTTAGCTTCCGAATCTTTTTCGATGGGTGAGTTCCTTGGAGAAAAAATCTTTCTCTACGGATGAAGCGTTTACGAAGAAACAATTGGGATGGAGATATCTTCAACTGATGGGAAACCAAGATAATCACATTGCTGGTATGCATCTATGAAAGATGAGTAATGGCATTACTTATCATGAGATTGATTGAGCTTTCACCATGTGACTATGTACTCTTTTATTTCCATATATATAATAGCTACATGTTTTTGTATGAAACCGTATTCAACCATGTCGCAAATTTTGTCATGCCTCTTGGGTTTGACATGGCTGCATCTTCGTTTCCATAATGAAAGTCATCATGGTCTATGGAGTTTCATTATTTTATCTTATGTGTCTGATTATTTATCTATTTTAATCTAAAGGTAAAGGTATAACTCTTGCTGCAGCTCTCGGCAAAGCTAGAGCCTGCAGTGGAGTCCTCATGTTACAAAGCAATCCAGGATTCTCGCTCATGTCAATCCTCTCTCCAGGAATAGGGGAACTCCATGAGAAGCAATGCAACAAATTTCCCATCACCAATGTCATCAAGTTCATGCTGAGCTGTGCCGCTGGACACATCCGTCTTCCTGATCCGAACGGAAGAACCCTAAAGTCTCGACCTTTAACATCAGTTTCCTCCTGAAGGAACCGCTCTGGTCTAAACTCATACGGGTTTATCCAGTTTGCAGGGTCTCGCCCAATCGCCTGCACATTGACATAAACCGTGGCGCCCTTAGGAACCTTGTACCCACCTACCCAAACTGTTTCGCTTGCTTTGTGTGGAAGCATTAATGGTGTTGACGGGTGAAGACGGAGAGCTTCTTTAACCACGCATTGCAGATATGGCAGGTTCGGGATATCTGATTCAGACATTAACCTTTCGGATCCAACCACGGAATCAAGCTCCTGTTGCGCCTTTTCTTGCACGGCCGGGCATTTGATCATCTCTGCCATAGCCCATTCGATAACAACTGCAGTTGTGTCAGCACCCGCGGTTAACATGTTCCAGACTAGTCCGCCAACCGTCTCTTCGCTTAGCTCTTTCTGCTCTTTCAACACTAACAATTTCCGAACAAAGCCCCTGTGATCCTCTATTGCTACATCTTCTTCCACCATTACAGCTCCTCTAAACCACTTTGTTCTGCGATCCTTGTGGGCTAAGAATTCCTTATCGCTGATGAACCAAGACGAAACCCATTTGAGCCACCAGACGTGATCGAGAATCGTCCCTGAGCCACTGAGAAGATGTTCTTTCTCAACGATTGATTTAAACTCCTTTCCTTCCTCAGACCCGAACTCTTTCCCGATCATTAATCTTGAGATGGTGTTCAAAACAACCGCAGCTAGGTACTTCCTCACAATCACCGGTTTTCGCTCCTGATCATCGCCTGAATCGCTCATCAAGTCCTTGAGAATCGACACAACCATCGATCTTGCTTCCATCTCTCTCAACGACCTGAAATTCTCGATGCTTTTCAGAGAGAAGAGTTCGAGTGTACAGAGTTTCCTCAGTTTGACATAATGTGGACTGTAATCAGACCAAACAAGATCAGTACCGGTCTGAGTCATCCTCGCGATCCTGTGTCGGTTAGACAATTGATGGTCTTTGTCTCTCAACACTTGTCTGGCTAAATCAGAGCTGGAGACCACAACGGTGAGCTGTGACCCTATCCACACAGATATGATAGGACCATAAGTCTGTGACCACTCCGAGAAAGAATGCGTCCAAAGTGGTTTCATTTGGTGGAGGTTCCCAATCAGAAACTTTGGCTTTGGTCCCGGCGGTATGTTGGATCTCCACCACCGTTGATAAAGCATGACGGTGGCGACGATGATAGGGAGTAATGAAATTAGATAAAGAACCATTTTTGCTTCGACAATGTGAAACAGTTAATGATATAATTAAGTTTGATGTACATTGGAACATATACCTTACACTGAAGTTTTTATACACAAACTGTAAAAGATAGAAGAAAGGTTTTGATATTTACTTACGTAAGTTTAGAGAAACACACAACTTTGACATGCGCATGAAAATGAGGTGATTTGGTCCCTTTTTACTCTCACACTTTTTGCATTTTCTGTTTACTTATTCTTGTGCTTTATGATACAACAACACTAGTCATGACATCAAAATGATTATTGACACAAAAATGATTATTGACATATTTTACCTGATTATTGATTGACATTAAAAATAAATTTGAGAAAAAAGAAAATGAAATTGAGTGGCAAAAATTAGATGGAAAATAACCAAAAAGATTCAGCCGAACAGAGCTTGCCGTTAATGGCGATACTCTGATGAGGACAGTCTAATGGAGATTTCCCGAAAAACAAGACAAAAGGAGAAATGGCGACAGCGACGACATCTGCGATTAGGGCACCAAATTGGAGAACTGTTGTGTTATTCTGGACTATCTCTCTCACTATTTTCTACTCTCTTTTCCAAATGGGTCTTCGAAATTCGCCATCTTCTTCATCATCATCAGGTAAAGATCATGTTTTTAAGTTCGTTTATTTATCAATTACCGACTTTTCCTTTCCTTGTCTCGATACTAAAATACCTTTTTATATTCTTAGATTTCGATGATGTTTTAATAATTGTATCCTGATCTGATTAATTAGCTAAACTGTGTGTGTGTTTTTTTTATAATGAATATGGGTTTCGTAAATGGAAGATCGATGTTGACTTGCTAATAGAAGGATTCATCAGCCACTGAGTGTAGTTAGGGTTGCGTAAAGAACTTGTTTTTCTATGAAATGTCTCTGTTTTTGTACCATGAGTTTGCAATAGATCTTGAGCCGAACTTAGCGTTTAGGGATAAAATGGATACTTAAATCACCCTTCTTGATTTGTTTATCCTGAGCTTAAGGATAGAGTGAATATCTGATGCAAAGAGCAATGCTTGATTTGGGAATCTAGTGCCTTTGTTTATGTGTTTTCTTTATCCATATCTTAAGTAAATGTTTATTTTATATAGCAATAGTAAAGTCTTGTATGTTTCAGATTCCTTTATCTCCTATGCGGAGCAAAGCACAAGGTTGTACGATAAGATGGAACGGGATATACAAGAAAACGGACCGCTGTTCTTTAAACAAGGTGAAACGTCTCAGTCGTTGTCACTTTCTGATCTCTTCACACTGAAAGATGGAAAGATATCACCTGTCCTCAAGGTAGAATGTTACATCTTTACTTTTACTATTCTTAGAATGGATTAGTGGTTTTGTATAGTGAAGTGAATAATTGATTTTTGTGATAGCTAAATATCATGTATGAGATTGTATAAAATATTCAGGTTGCGAATCCCCCTGTGCGAGCTAATGTATTACATCTCAGCACAGAATACTCTGTCCCAGTCTCGTGAGTGTGTAATTTGCCCCATTCTCGATGCAAATTTATCCTGTTTAGTATGATGTTTTACTGCTAAAAAGGTGTCCTTATATGTCTGTAAATTGCAGGAAAGCCGTCGAAAATGTGTTCAGTCCTTACTTTGAGAATAGTAAGCATGCCGCTATTACCATATATGTGAATCATATATAATATGGTAATTGTGTTTTCATCTCTCTTACTTTGGGTTGTTTTTTAGCAATCTGGTTTCAGGACTCTAAAATGTATCACTTTAGCATGTTTCATGCATCGAATCACATTTTCTCTGTTCCAGCTACTGAAGATGAGGTTTGTTGTTTTTACTTTATCATTTATCTTATCACCAGTCCACTAGAACTTTTATTCTAGTTTCTGAACCTCTTCTTCATTATCAGGTTGAAGGAGAAGCAGCTGCTGTTAAAGCAGTTGCTAATAAACTTTGCCCTTTGGAGATTATCTTGGATAGAGTTCTGTTAACCTCGACTGGTGTTCTTCTTGGATGCTGGAAGGTAATTTTGTTGCTTTCACTTTGCCTCAACAAATGCGAGTCAGATCTCCGTTTTGTTTTGCTTATACCACTTCGGAATTTCATCCTCCATGACAAAAACTATGCTAACAAGTTCTTTAGAAATGGCCAAATCAGATATCTGGGACTTATACCCTGTTTCATGTTTCATTAGGTTTATTCTGGAGATGACCCCATAACAATCCGCTCGAAACTGAGATCTGTTCTTCCACGTGCACCGGAGAAGCAACTTGTAATATCTGTTTCTTTAAACTGTATATACTGTATCTCTCAATGAACACGAACCACTTGTCTGATACATATGCTGATTTTTTGTTTTAGTATGATGCTGCAATTCTTCATACATCATTGGCAAGGCTGCTTGGTCCACCAGTATCTCCAACTGAGGCAAGTTTCACTTATTGGCGAGAAACTCAGAATTTAATGTTGCAGAATCTCCATGACTTAGTTGACGTTTCTTTATGTAGCAGGCTAGTTCTGACGACCAACTCCAGCGTATCCATGACTTGATCACAAGACTAAACAACCAAATCCGAGGATTCAGGGTAAAACTTATAACTAAAGTGAAGTTTTCTTGACCAAGAACTGAGAAATCTCTCTGTTGATACAGGCAATAGTATCAGAGCTGTGGTATGTAGAAGAGTTTGATCTGCTGGCGCTTGCATTGGGAGGAAGAATGAAGGTTCGATCATTCCCACTCGGCTGTGCAAAGAGTTAATACCTACCGGATTGTAATCAATAAGCTTATTTCATCTTTAAGATCATCAAAACCACTATGTCATCTTCATGTACATTTTCTTCAACTTCTTAGACTCTTAGTCAAGAAAATTATCTTATTCAAGTCAAGACAAAAGTATTTTCTTATGTCGGCTATGGAAAAGCAGCTACTTATAATTCGAAAGAAACTGTAATTTTAAGTTTTTAACTCCCAAATGTACATAATATTTTGCTTTCCTTTTATATGCTGAATTTCCAAATACAGAATTTTATATAGCTAATTACCCAAAGAAAAAGATCGCTAATTTACTTTCTTGTGTCAACAACGTTTAGTTTAAGCTAATTTCCATTTTTTTAAAAATTTCCTAAAAGCTTGAGTATTCATTCCAAAGAAAAGGAAATTAATGGTAGCTTTTTTCAATTTCAATTCGTTTTCACACCTTTTGACACCATTAAAAAGTTAAAAACTTTCAACAGCTCTACCACACAATTATTATTCGCTCTCTCTCTCTCTCTCTCTCTCTCTGAAAGTCTCCATCTCTATCTCCAGTGAGTAGTGAGTTTTAGTGGAGGAAGAATCAGATTCAAAGCCAAAATCAAAGCTTGGTGATGGGATCTGGAGCTGGAAATTTCCTCAAGGTTCTTCTCAGGAACTTCGATGTTCTTGCTGGGTAATACTCAATTTCTTCTATTTCTCTTCTCTTCTTCTGTTTTTGCTCCACCGTCACCATTACAAAGACCCTGAATCTCTTCAATTTTCTTCCTTTTGCCTTAAAGCTCCTTCCTTTTAGCGAATAGCTTCTCATATGTTATACTCAATTCATCACAGTCTAGGGTCTAGTTTCTATTTTTGGACATAACCCTAGTTTAAGTTACGAAATTCTCTCAAAGTTGATTTGATTCCTATAAAAAAAAATTCATCTTTTGGAATGTTATGTGTGAAACTAATCATAATCTCTGTCGTTGAATTTTTTGCAGGCCTGTGGTTAGTCTCGTTTATCCTCTGTAAGTGAATCCATAGTTCCACTTTTCTTTCATGGTTTAATCTGTACTGCAGAAAACTTTGATCTAATGGTACGTGTCTTGCTCTTTGACAATGGCTAGATATGCTTCAGTCCAAGCGATTGAAACTCAATCTCACGCTGATGACAAACAATGGCTAACTTATTGGGTCCTTTATTCATTACTTACTCTCATCGAGCTCACATTCGCCAAACTCATCGAATGGTAAGATGATTGAAACCCCATTAGCCACATTAGCAATAGCAAGTTTCTTATACTGACAATGTTGTTGTGTGATCAGGTTACCGATATGGTCATACATGAAGCTGATCTTGACTTGCTGGCTTGTTATTCCTTACTTCAGCGGCGCTGCGTATGTCTATGAACATTTTGTGAGACCTGTGTTTATTAACCCGCGGAGCATTAACATTTGGTATGTGCCAAAGAAGATGGATATCTTCAGAAAGCCAGACGATGTGTTAACAGCTGCTGAGAAGTACATTGCTGAGAATGGACCTGATGCTTTTGAGAAGATCTTAAGCCGGGTATGTTATGTGATTTGTTCTATAACATCTCTTCTTCTCCTTGTCAAAAGAAGGTGATTCTTCTTTACGTATCTTTTCTCGTATCGTGCAGGCCGATAAATCAAGAAGATATAAACATGAACATGAAAGCTATGAAACAATGTATGGTGAGGGTTATCAGTACTAAGAGAAGAAACTTGAAAAGCTTTTAATTTTAGAATGTGTGAAGCAAGCTCATGTCGTTGTTCTTGTTTGTTTATGCTTCTATTTTTGTGGATCTCTCTCGTGTAAAAAAGTTGATAATTAAATCAAGATGCTTTATGCTCCAATTTAATAAAGTTTAGAATCGAACTATTTTATATTCCAATGTTTTCTTTTATCTATGCATATTTCAACTGTGTACTAATCAAGTTTGGTTGTAAACTTATATAATTAAGAGTGAAGATCTAAGCAGTATAAGAAATGACCAAAGCTACTTTTTTCAAAATCATTAGATCAAAAAGAGTCAAAATTGCTTTCCAAAGATTAACACTTGCAATCTTGGTTTTCCAGGAAAAACAGAGAAAATTTATTCTAAAAGAGTGTAACAATGGAAACAAATTACAAAATAACAATGTTGAGAGAGACAAGACAAGATGATGCTTGTTCTTAATCTTCTTCAAATTTATTGAAACTTTTCAGTTCCAGATTATACCTGAACAACAACAATAATCCCACAAAGACAAAGAAGAAAATAGAGAGACTCTCTTGACCCCAATCATGAAAATAAAACCCAAAACAAGAAGAAGAAAAACTCTAATAAAAAAAGTCAATAACTTTGAAATGGCTCTCAAGTCTTCTTCATCAACATCCCATCACCGCACAATTATACACAAAGTTTCCCGATGGCTTAGAAGCAAGAACTCTCCAATGCAGCTGTGTTCCTTCGCTTGGGACACAAGCATTGATCTCTATGAACCCTCCTCCTATTGCCCTAGGTCCTCCAACCACCACTAACTGATCCCCGCAAGCTCGAAACGCCATTCCCCAACCGTTCATCGAAGAAGCCCTCTCTGGCAAATTCCCTACTTTATTCCATACATTACGCCTTTTATCGTATTTCCTTACTTCTTGCTGCGCGTAATTTGCAGCATAAAGCTCGTCTTTTACAACTGCTACAAGTGGTGGTGCCTCCGAGGCCGCTGTAGCAGCGGCAATCTCCTTTGCCTGATCTCCTCCACCTCCGTTGCTTCTTTCTGGTAACATGTTAGGTATCAATGTCCATGTCTTCTTCTTCAGATCATAGACTTCACCGCACATTAGCATCTTCGAGTTTCCCTCTCCGATACCTCCAATGCAATAGAAATTCCCGTCCATGAACACGCTCGAGCACATTTTCCTAGCTTTGTTCATGCTCGGGATGACAGTCCATTCCCCAGTTTCCGAGTTATAAAGCTCTGCCGAGCTCAATATCCGCCCACGCGGATCGCATCCTCCAGCTATAACCGCGATCTCGCCTAGACTCGCTGATCCAAACAAGCACCTCGGGACATTCATTTGCATACCCGATGTCCATGTATTGGTCAAGATACTATATCGGTAAATCACATGGGACATGATCTCTTTACCAAAAACAAGAAGCTCGGTGCCAACCGCCAGAGACTCTTTATCAGAACACATGAAACATTCGTTGAATGTCATTTTCGGTACACGTAACCAGCGATCTCCATTTGGATCATAAGCTTCCCATTCCAAGAGCCTGCAAGAGAAGTAAATCCAATGTTCCACAATACCCTTTGCCCGTCTCAACCTATACAACTCACTGTCCTTAATCAACGAGCGGAAGGTTTTATTCGTTGAGGCTATAGACCCGAAATCAGACAAGGAACAGTGAGCCAAGCAGTTGAGAAGTGCGTTTTGGTCAAGCCGAGTAACCGGTGAACTCTGTTGATCACCTCCTTGTTGACTCTGGTTAGACCTCTGATAGATTTTAGCAAGCTGAAGAATATCTGTAATCTTCTCAGATTCACCTCTGCTTCCATGATCAACGCGCAACAGTTTCTTAGCGAAACTTCCTTCTTCATCGGTAGCATCCAACAACCGTTTCTTCAAGGAGAGCTGAAGCACACAGTGTGCGTTATATATCCACTTGCTCTCTTCCTCACATGAAGATGGTAAGTCTCTTGACACCAGATAACTCGGAGCCTCCAACATAATGAATGCTAAGAAAAGAAAAACAACCAGTCCATCAATCAAAACCATCCCATAAACAGAAGAAGAAAGACACATTATGACATTTCAACAACATATTGTGCTTTTCAGATATATGAGAATTTGTAATATAAACTGTATCAATGATCCAAGGCAAATCCATCAATCAAATCATCGCCCCGCAAGAGTAAGGTAAAGTACAATTCTTGACCAGTGAAATTAAGTTTTGACATCACTGTAGAAGATATAAATTTTAGTACAACCACTTTGATAATTCAGCAAAACCAATCATTCGAATCCACAAATATAGATTTTAGTTGGTCGAAAATCTCAAATACGAACGATCAGATAAAAAAAAACACCAATTCACAAAAAGAAACATGCAAGCCACGAAGAATAGATCGATGGATAGATTCAGCAGCCAATAGAATCACATCAGATCCCAAACTAAAAATCAATCTCACCAGCTATTATCGAAGAATAACACCCCTCAGATTCCTAGATAATTTCGATCAAGCAGAGTCGATTAAAGATCTGTAATTTAAGAAAACAATAGAAATCCAGACAAAACCCACTTTAGATATCGATGATTCCAACAAATCAGACACAAAGATTCAAGAAATTTTTCAGGCAGGATCAAAAAAAAAAAAAAACTCAACTCAATCTTCGCATTGCGGCCACATTTTAGATGAATATTTGAGCTGGGATTTGCATTTTTAATTTGATTTGATTTGATTTTTGGGGGATCGATTAAAAAAAGATGCACGAATGAACCAGTGGTGGGATTTGTACATATAAAAAAATGAAGAATAAAGCTGATGAATTTATATATTCTTTACTCATTTTTTATATACTCGATGACGAGGAGAGATGTTCAAGGATATTTTCGGTACTTTTTGTTGTTTAAGTCGACGACGCCGTTAGTTTAGTAGCCAAAAGAAAGTTAACGGCTGATTCTTAGCTCTTGCACGTGTTTCTGCTTCGGACAACTAAAGCTTTTTTATTTATTTATTTGCTTCTCACGTTAATAATCTCGTTCTTCTTCTTTTCTTTCTTTTTTTCTCTCTTTTACTTAATTTTTGCTAATATCTTTATCTTATAAATCTTTCTGAATAATATTTCAATAGATCTTTCTATTTTTCTCATGATATTTTGTATATTTTCATGTATAATTTAGACATATTATATTAAATATTACTGGAATATTTAAATATTAGATTTAAGCAGTGTTCTAAAAAGCGGTCTAGGCGGTCGCCTAGGCCTCGACTAGGCTCTAGGCTCTCATGCGACGCCTAGATAACCGTCTTGACCGCCTAAAATTATATAGATCTTGTTTAATGTATTTTTTTCAATTTCAATTAGAGTTTTATTTTTATATATATAGTTATAAATATTCATATATTGTCAAAAAAACTAGATAAAACCTTTATTTATATTTAAAATCTCATTTAAAGGTTTTATCTAGTTTTTGTTTATAATTTCATAATTTTTAGTTTTATATAGATATTTTATATAACTTTTATATATAATATCATATTTATAATGTTTTATGTTATAAACGTCTAAACCGCCTAAAAATCGCATAGGCCCCGATTAGTCCTTCTAGGCGCTAGGCATTGGGTTACCGCCCGCTTAGCGCCTAGCGCTTTCTTGAACACTGGATTTAAGTAATCAAGATATAATTAAAAAAAAAAAAAAACAAAAAAACTAAAACATCAATAACACCGAATATATATTAAAAAATAGATTCATATTTATACGAATTAATTTCAGTATTTGGGCGTAGATTTCATTAGGCCTGGGTTTTCGGTTATCCGTTCGGTTATCGGTGGGGTCCATTCGGTTTTCGGTTCTTTCGGTTTTAAAATTTAGTATCCATTCGGATATTTTGAAATTTCGGTTCGGTTTCGGTTTGGTTCCGGTTCTTTCGGTTTTAAAATTTAGTATCCATTCGATTATTTTGTTTAAGATATTTTCGGATTTTTTGGTTATTTTTGAGTATTTTTAAATATTTTTGGATATTTTTCGGTTATTTTTGAGTATTTTTACTATTTTTATAGATTTTTCAAGTATTTTTGATTATTTGGTCAATAAATAACTAATTATTTCGAAAATATAATTGTATTTCGGGTATTTCGGTTACCCGAAATATTTCGGTTCGGTACCGATTCGGTTACGGTTATTTCGGTTATCAAATTTAGTATCCATTCGGTTATTTTCAAATTTTCGGTTCGATTCGGTTCGGTTTTTTTTTACTTCGGTTTCGGTTCGGTACATTCGGTTCGGTTTAAAAGCCCAGCCCTAGATTTCATTTAGCCAATCAGGAGTTAGATCCAAAATTTTAAACCAACTAAGGTCTTCAGGCCCATATCAAGTTATAAGTCCGCAAATTGTATAATGGGCCGGATCTGTTATTAGGCTTTTAGCCCTAATATTAACTCATCTATTTTGCTGTGAATATGAAATACTAGTACAGATTGATATTACTAATAGCGGTTAATTGTTTTTTTTAGTCTGTAATCTGTAGGTTGCAATAGAGTTGATAGACGTGGTTAACTGAATATTCTGTAAACGTATATTATCTTTATCTTCACTATCAAAAAAGGATTATTATGATATATTAATTATTTGACCCACTACTTAATTTTAATTCTGATTACTGGAGCAATAGGATAGGACCACACTTCATTGTAGTGTGTATATATATAATCAATGCGCGACAAAACCAGTTTCTTTTTTTACTAGTAGAACGAGAATATGGATTCGCGACAATAAATATTACCCCCACGAGTTATATATAGTACATGGAACCTCATGCAACTACTTTTCTTTCGTCTCACGGGACCACATATAATAAAGTTTCTGACGCTAATTACAATCATTAAACATAATCGTGGAGATTAATTATTGGATTAAGGTAATCTTAAAAATTTGCAAATTGTGTGAAAGGAAAGAACCTTAGACGATGGTGGACCTTGTCTTCGTCTTAATATTAAAGTGCTGACAAACTTAGGTTTAAGTACCAAGTTGTAACATAGAAACGAATCTGAATGACGTAACCAAGTTTTGATTTGTGTTGTTTAGATCAAACACGTTAAAACCAGCAACCTTTTTTTTGGTAAACTTAAAACCAGCAACCTACTGTCTTAGTTTTGGTTGTTTAT